TTCTCACATAGAAAGAAGAGAAAAGGCCTAACACAGAAACTAAATAAATTCAAAACATTGCTGTCATTCATGCTGTAACAGAAATGCCACCCAGTAAGAAAAGGCTTTTACAACTCCTAAAGGAGATAAGAAACGCTGGCCAGCATAGCACTAACAAGATGCTTTTGGAAGTGCAGAATTTCCCAACCTGACAATCAGTACAGGTTCTGGAAATGCCACAGAACATAATGGTCTCCTTATAAAGGAAATGAGAGTTTAGGAATTGACTATAAATGAGATTACAAAGAAGGATGGGTAATTTGGAAAATCCTTTTCCAAAGCCAAAAGAATTTAAAGCTTAGGCCCTGGCACACACAAATTCCACTGGCTTCAAGAGTTTGCCTCATGTGAGCAACTGCTCACCCATGAGAGTAAGGGGTTCACAATCTGAGCCCAAGTTTCCTCTGCAGAATTTTTTTCTGATTATATGTGAGGAATTAAAAAATAAAATAAAATAAAAACAGCTCAGGTTTCAAATGTGAGGTTGATTTTTGAAAAGATGATGAACTGAAAAAAACAAAACAAAACCTTAAAATCAAGCAAATCTGATATGGAGTCAGAGGGAGAGAGAGAATAAAAGTCTTCCCCATTTTTACTGTCAGGTTTCAGAGTAGCGTCACACACTAAACTAAGGATGAGTAAACTAGTTTTCTCCATCGCTAGTTCTGCCACACATTTTAAGATAATTTGAGGAGGGAAATAGAACACAGGACAAGACTATGTAAACATATCTTTCTAACAGGTCATGCAAACTATTTCATACAATAGCATCATCTCGCTTCAGCTGTGAAACACGCCTGTGAAGTAAAACTAAAGAGAATTCTTGGTCCTTCGGTGTTATCATTAGAATGTCATTTGCCCATTTGTCTGTAACAATGCCTCACCTCTGATTGGGAAGACCAACAAAAGGCTCTCCCCTGAGCTGAGAGCAGGAGGTAATAACGCAAGAATTTGGCAGGCATCCTCTCTAGGAGACTACATATCAATCATGTTGCTGACACACCAAGCCCGCAGTGAATGGATCTCCAGAATTGAGAGCTTTCTGGGCTACCCGAGGCAATGGTGGGCCTTGCTGAAACAGAGAAGTGCACTAACCTTTAAATCTAATCAACTACCTATTTCCTGCTATGCTCCAGTCCTTACATATCACATTGCTACCTTGGTTTGAGAGCCAAGTGCATTTTATTAAAACACAACATAGCAAGTAATGGAAAATGGCATAAAAAGGAAAAACCTTTGTGGTTAATTTCCTCCTGCTCTTATTGTCCTTGTCATTCAAGCCTTCACTTTAATGAGTTAGTAGATGAGATGGAGCTTCTGTTGCCAGCGTTGCCACTTACTGTGTAACCTTGGACATGTCACCTAAAAGTGAACTACAAAGGAAAAACAATAAAAATGTGTTTTGCATTTTGCTTCTGCTTTAGGATGTGCCAAGAGTTTGGGTTTGTTTTTGTTTTCCCCAAAAGAAAAAACCCAACATGTTTTCTGCTCGTGTTTTACAATAGAAAGCTCAGAGGAAGTGGAGATTCAAGGGCTTGGAATTTCCAGAGGACACTAGATTGCTGCGAATGGCCATGGAAAACTGTAGTTTATGCTCCAGAGTGAGATGACTTATCTTAACCTGACTGCTCTGGTTAAGCAAGTTCAATAAAACCTCCTGTGTCTGCCTCTAGATAGGATCAGCTGTTCAAATGTAAGACTGAAAAGTAATTTGGTTTGCTTACTTTGCTCCTGTCATATCAGTCGGTTTAATCAGTTCATTAACAATGTGATGACTTGCTTAGGCCTCTAGTCCCTAGAGGGTGTGCAAGATTAGTAACTACTTTATTGGGGGGAAGAAGGTGCTACTAAATGGTCCCAAGAATTACATTTCTCCTCTAGTCTTAGGTGAGAAATATGGGTTAGCAAATACCCATCTAAGTCTCTCCTTTCCTCACAGATGCTGAAGTAAAGTCATAAGCTTTTGAGTAACGACTCCATCTGTGGAACTTCGTTCACTCAGAAGGCTGTGATCTCTGCCTCCTAAACTGGTTGATATAAAAGCAAGAGGGGAAGGGGCTTTGCTTGAAGTTGCTGCCATCTTAGAGGGTATGTTCAAGGCTCACTGCAGTTTACATAAGTGATTTCTTATCTTTAAGAATAGCCTATCAGCCAAGGTGGACTGATGAGCAGCCATGCACTCCAATCTTGCTGGATCTGCAGTTCCAAGAATAGTCTTTATGGCATGTGGTAGGAAACAGATTGGATTTCTTGCAGGAGGATGATACAGTTTAATTTTTGTTGAAAAATAGGTCTAAATGTAAGAGGTTAAACTCCTTATTTTATAGATATAGGCTTCATGAGCTGTATTCCTGCATGTGGGTAGAGAAATAAATCTAAACAGGTAGTGTATCGATTTTGAGATGGTAAAGAAAGATATAAGTACCATCAGACCCTACATGGGGTATGTGCCAGGATTGGTTCACCTTTCCAATGTCAGGTCATAGTCATGCCTTGGCTTCTTCTCACCTTTGGGTAGCTGGGCTTCAGTGAGTTGGTGATTTGGTGCTTACCCCGCCCACCAAACCAATCAGAATCTGGCGCAAATAAATATCTAAGTCAAAATCCAAATGAAACAGCACAGTCCTTCAAACCTGTCTCTTGCTGGATCACAGCCCTCCTTTGAAGGTCTGTCCATCTTCTCAACTCTCCAAGGTGTAACAATATCTTACCTCCTAAGATTCCAACTTCTTGTCCACATCCTGCCCCCTTGGTTGTAGAGATTTTTGCATCATTAGGTGGCACTGTGGAGAGCTTGGGCCCTTCCATTACTCCAGGATCCAGCCTTGGAACCTGAAAACCGTGGTAAGATGTCTGTCCTCAAACTCCAAACTGCACTGTTTCCCAGGGCCACATGCTAGGACACCTTCCTTTTAAGTCTTCTAGGCCTTCTCCCAATCTTCGACCTTGGGCCACCTTAGAGTTTTCCAGGTTCTCCCTACTCTTTGAGTTTCTCACTATTCTGAGCCAGAGGCAGCTCTTTTCTATAGCCTGACATTTTCTCCAAGCAGGCCTCACTTCCAGTCTACAGTCACATGACCTTCCAAGGACTACAATTTCCAGAAAATCAGTCTTTAAGAGGCTGGTACTTGGAACTCGCATGTGCTGGACCCAGCCCTGCCCTTAAAGGGACAGCATACAATGTGACAGTGAGCCATCCACGAGAAGAAATAGTAACTACTTCTTTGTAGGGTTACCTTACATCTGGATTTTCCCAGACAACGCCTCTATTTTAGCCTTTAAATTAGCACCATCAGCTGCTTCAAACCTTAAAGAGTAGGACTCCTATATAGAGCTATGTGAATTACTGATTTGTCAGTTTTGTGGCTACACTAAGAAACGAGAAAAAAAATCAACTTATACTGGTATTGTCAACTCTCATGATATTTGGTTTTCTTCTTAAAGTCCCAGATCCTGGGGTCATGGGATTATGGGAGAAACTCCGCTTTCATTAAAAAAAAGGTTAATTTCTAGCTCCCCATGGTAGAGAAAAGCTTGAAAATGTGATCTCCTAAAGACTCAAAAGACAAGTAAAAAGCACCCACAACATTTATTATTTTTTTAAATATTATTTATTTAAGCCCCTCTCATAATTTTTTTGGCCTGACTTGTGGTTTTTGAAAGCTTTTAGTTGGAATTACTGTAATATTCTCCGGTGAAAGGAGGGGAGAACAACAACAACTGGCTTGTGTTAAATAGTCACACTATTCTAGTATGTCCACAACATATCAAAGTTCAGATATTTGAAAATTAATCTTGCTACTCCAGTAGATAGAAGAAAATACCTAACAGGAGGGCATCTTATCTTGATGCAATATTCTGTGAATGTGGACAACTCATTTCTTATTCAATAAAAGCCCCCTCCTGCCATGGGAGCACTAAAGCAGTATGTAACATTGCTCATCTGGCTGGTATGGATCAAGCATAGCAGAATTGCAAAAAAGTTTCAGAACTGTTATGTTCAATGCATGCTAGCCAGGCAAATGATTAACTGACTGAGTGCTTGTATAGAAAGCCTAAAGGAAAAGGCGCTACTACAATATTCGAAATCAGCTTCCTTCCTTGAGAAAAGGCAGTAGACGAGGCGAATCAGCCTGTCACATTTTCAACAGTGTGCTTCATATCCCATTCTTGGTAAAACTCCCTATCTGTAGAATAAATTAAAATTTTACTGTAAAAATAGAGATAATATGGAAAAATCAGTACTCAAGGTATACCTTTAACATAACTAAGGTAAAGCAATTCAAGAACTTTCTCACTAAGGGTAAGATTAAATTTTAACACTTCTTCCTACTAGAACATGCTGAAACAAAAATTGGAGATGGAGTAAACTATGGATCTCTATCAGAAATACACCTGCCTGTGGCTTTTAACTAGAAATCTTGGGATTTTGATTCGTAGCTGCTCTGCCATTAGCTGCCAGTTACTGAAATCTGCCTTGAACTTCTTTCCTCCAAAGAGTATCTTGGCTAGAAACTCAGACACAAATGAATCATATTATTTCAAAGTAATTTTGCCACTTGTCATTGCTGATCGAACCACTGTGCTAAAATTGCAGGCATGCACACATGGTTCTTGGAGTGTATCTAGTCACTTAACATTATGTTGAGGTATAAGTAGATGCTGGAAGCAAGGCCTGATTTCACAAAGTACAGGTCAAAAGTGTCTTTTGGAAACAGCCACTTGAGTCACTCATTGGAAACAATTGAATTACTTTGGATGTACGATGGTGTAAATAAGAACGTGGTTCTCTATGGGTAGGTTAAACCAAGGCAGAGAGGGAAAATGTCACTAAAAGTATGATGTCTTTTATCACCCAGCACAATAAGTTGCAGCATGTGATTCTATATTTATTAATTTAACGGGAATAGATCCTAAAACAAATAATTACTAGTTCAGCTTATCCAATGATTACTAGTCAATTTATAGTTGGTTATAACACTAACATTTATTTCATGTAATATTCATTACAAATTCAAAGGATACACTTAAAATGATACTAATAAGCATCTGATTTGATAGTGTTTGACAAAATCTCCATTGGACTTTCATCCTTAAGGTTCTTCCACGGTTATCCGCTGCTGTAGCCTAGGTTTATTGGGATTATGTTCTATCAACCAATCAGCAAACCAAATCTATAGGATGAAAAGATCTTCAATGTCACTTCTATAACTATATAAAGAAAACATTAAAAAACATTTCACTCCCATAAAAACAGACCCTTTTTATTAAGGGCACTATTTTGATACAGACGCTACTAAACACACCCTTTGTTTGAGACACTATTAAAGTATGCAGAACTGTACATCCCAGTTTATAGTAAGCCATAAACTCTAGTTACCAAGTTTGCCTTTTTAATCTGTTCATACTACATATTGCTCTTCAGTCTTGAGCTGCTTAAAATGAATTTAAGACTTTTCATGTCAGGGAATCTCTCTATATAAGTGTTTGTCCAGTGGCATTTTAGCCCTACCTCAGTACAAACAATAAGTATGAGGATTCTATTTTGAAAATAGAATATGCACTCAAATGCTTACAGAAAAGTATTATTAATTATGTCAGTTCTATCAACACTGCCAGCTACTTCAACACGTTGAGCCCTTCATACAAAGTCAGTGTCACAACTTTCTACACTGCAATCATGTTTGAGTGTCTTACAGTAACCCTTACAGGCAGGAAATGGAGCCGTAGAGAAGTCAACAAATGTGATGTTCTGGTACTTTTTGAAAACGCAGCACATCCTGTACATTTTCTAGCAAACTGTAATGGTATCTAAGCACAGATGTGAGAGGCAGGAATGCCTGAGTTCTAATTCCATTTGCTAATGACTCACTCTGGCCTTAGGCAAACTACTTAACCTCTCTGCCTTGATTTCTCCATTTGTAAAATGGAGTTTATCACACATACTTGCATACTTCATAGGGCTGTTGAACACTAATTAGTGGATGTCAAGTGTTAAGTACTGGTAAACTGCTTACAGTACTGTGAAGTGAGAGGAGAATTGATAGAGTAGTAGAAGGGAAATGGAAGCAGGGATTAGTATCAGATATGAACACAATGCTTTGTCAAGGGTTACAGACAGGTAGACTAAATAAAATAATCCTAGCAGGTTACAGGGAAAATTCGAAACTGAAGAAGCAAAGGGACTAAGGCACTGAGCAGATCTAAACACAAAAGAGTTGAATTCATACACAGTGACAGAAAGCGGTGCAGTTGGGAGGCAGAGGTTATAGGTTACTGTATTTTAGAGACATGATTAAAACAACAAGAATAAGTATTTCAGCAGAGGGAGAGTCAAGGCAAAGAGAACAGTGATTGCAGATGTACAAACAAGATGATGTAGGAGTAAAAATTAGCATAGTTAAGGGGCAAGGAAGACTCCTAAATTTTTCAATTTGGGAGAAAATTAAAGATTTTATGTCCTGGACCAAAATTCATGCAGTCACATGAGAGTCTTTCTATTCACTTCAATGGGCTTTGGATAAGATGCTTATTTAAGGGGACTAATGAAGACAGAAGGTCAAGAGGTTTAGTCAGTGACTTGGGCCTTTATACCGAATTCATTGCAGCAATATAGATTACTGGAAAGGGGTCATAAGAAAACTGTTGGACACCTGTAGATGGTTTCATTGGAGAACTGCTCAGGGGTCAAAGTTTATGTTAACGAGGGTGAACGTGATCACATGACCAAGAGAGTTCCTACCTAAGATAAGCAGTGAATTGGATATTACTAATTGTAGCACATATAGCAGAAGTTAAAACACAGAAATCTCTTTTGAGGGAGCTTGCATATATTTATTTATTTATTTCTTAAAAGCTGCCAAAGCTTCACTGCATATTCTCTGTATTAGCAAACTGTCACAAAGCATTTAATCTCACTCATGCCCACTGGTACCTGGTTTCTCCCAGCTAAACTAGGTAGAGAGGCAGATATTTGACATCCGTGTACCTCAGCTGGCCCTTGGTTTCTACCAAAAAAGGAGGCAAAGCAGCTTTCCTCGAAATATTATAAGGAACCATGAACCTCACCATAAAGCAAACATAACATGAGGTAAGAAGTGTGTATGACAGAGTACATACCAATGGATCCGCTGGTTTCTGCTTACAAAGCTCGGTGAGCCCAGCTAGTAGTGTAGGATTGACATAGAGGTTCAGGTAATCCTTAGCAGCTTGTCCAACTGGAATTGGCTCAATAATCACTGGAAAGAATAGCCATGTCAATTATTGCAAAGCAAGTTGCTTATAATGTTAAAAAAATACTTTCCTTCAAAGGTTTATAACCGTGGTTATATTTTCCTTGTAATTGATAATACTTAACCCTTTGTATGGCTTCTCTGCAAGACATACACCATGACACAGAACTACTGCAGTGTGTTGCCCCCAAAGCAATTCTAAGAAGGATGGAGCTCCTGGATATTGTATCTTGGGTGATGGTACACTGGCGGTGGTTGGTCCAGGGGGGAAAAAAAGCACCCTTTAGTTGATTGGGGGAGAGGAAGAAATAAGACTAATTGAGGACCCACCCACTTCACTGGATATTTATTGGACAAAGGAGAGTCCATTGGGGGCTACTTCTTCAGTGCCCCATTACTGCTGTGGAGCTGGTTCTCGTCACCCTGAAGGACCTACATCAGATATTGCATTTTTATTGTGGGGCAAGGGACAGGATGTAGAATGGTTTACATGGGATTCTGAAGAGGGAAAATGCATGATCTCCAGGGGAAAAGAGAGACTAACATTCATACTAAAGAAAGACCTGCAACAGGCTTTGAGACAGGATTTCAAGTGGTTTGAATTCTGTTTAAACATTGTTTCAACTAACATGGTTTTAAACTCAGGACCACATGCTACTCCTGTTTGGTCTTCTGGTGTAGTGGACAGGAAACTCCATGAATATCTAATCATAGATTTTCCTTAGAATCACTCCTTTGAGGATTGTGTCATCTTTCCCCTCAACCTATGGGGCAAGCAAAGGGCTCTGTCCTTCAAAGCTCACAGGTGCCTTTGTCCACGCCAGTTGGAACTTGGCTCCTGAACTGTACTGCCATGTGACCCTCCACCAGTAGATGAGCATGAATCCCCGTACCCCAGTCTCAGAAGAGGGAATTCAACCATATCAGATCAACAGTAACTCCGGGGCAGATTTTCACTTGGAAAGCCACTCTGCTCCCAGTGAAACATGCTGAAATGAAGTAGTTCCATGGTTCTTCCCATTCCCTGAATTTGCCTGCCCCAATTCCAATGCCATAGAGGGGCATTTGCAGTCTCTGTGAGGCAGGAGGGAAATTAATTCCCAACCACTGTGATTTGGGTGGTTTGTCAAACAGATTTTGCTATTTTCTGCTCCACATGGCATAGCACCTCAGTCATAGTTTAGTTAGTCAATGAAAACGGGACCAAACTGTTCTAAAACATTTTTCAAACCCCCTTTATGAGCCTAGGTTCTATACTGAATGTTTGGCTACAGACAGGTAGGAATAGGGCAGGAGCCATGCGCTCCTAAAGACGACTTGCAGTTTACAGACAAATAAATGATAACTCTGTACCTTCAGGAAACATGAATCGAATTTCTCTTTCTGCTGAGGAAAATCGGATACTGCCATGAACTGCATTCCTCAGATCATCTGTCCCATAGATTGCTCTTAAACTAAAAGCAACAGAGAGAAGTGTTTGGATGGCTATTTCAAATCCCTTCCAGTATTTACATTCTCATTCAGATTGCAATAAATACAATAAGTGAGGTCCAATTAACAAAATCTTTCCAGTTAACAAAATCTTTTGCTTCTTTTTTGTGCCATAATTTGAAAATGAAAAAGGTTGGCCCAAACCTTTATTAATTTTATACAGTAAGGGTGAAATCCTCACCCTAGTGAAGTGAATGGCAAAGCACCCCTTGACTTCAATGAGGTCAGGATTTGACCCTAAATCTATTCTTCAGTAAGTTACCTGTCAGGGTGTGTTTCCTTAGCTCTTATGCTATTTGATGGTCCAATCAACTCTTTCCAGTAAGCGATAGCGTTATGTCTGGCAAGAACCATAGCAACTAAAGGCCCAGAACTCATATATGCTGTTAAATTAGGAAAAAACATTTTGCCATATTGATCTGCATAAAAGTTGCTGCATTGCTCTGGGCTTAGTTGGAGCTTTCGTTTCTAGAAAACAAAGAAAAGGAAAAAGTAAGCTTCTATTTTAAGCATATACTAGATTATTCATGGATGAACACCACCAAGATTTACGTAAAAATGCTATATTGCAGAATTTATATTTTCCAGCACTTGTAATGAATTACAACTCTCCAATTTCCTACATTAAGCTATTCATCAGCAGCCATTATGTCTTCTTTAAAACATGCTGAAATGTGACAAAATGGTATTGTGGGATCTCATGTTTCTGTCTTAGTATCTTCTACACAAAATCTCAGCAACGTACAAGTAAAACATTTTTTTCTGACCGCCAACCCTGCAAGCTCAACTGTGCTCTGAAAGGCCAGTTATATTTCTGTCTCAAGTAGTAACAAATATTCCGCAAATTGAAGTGTCAATTTCTGTTACTGTACAACTGGGCAAATAATCCAGCTCACTCTCCCAGAGCTGTATTGGTTCTGCAGTGCTTACAAGAGTAAAGAGTAGTAAAAACTTACTTTTTGTCAGTAAATTAAGCAGACACAAATCAGAATATACGCAAGAGCAGGTCGTCTGAGTAAGAAGATGTCATTTTAGTCAATTTTCTAACCATAAACATACTATGGCATTTTTTAAATTGATGTTTGATCTAATGCATTATTCTAATTAGACTATATACAAGAAACTGAATGTATTATCAGTGGTCTGTGGTTTAATTATTCAGCTCACCAGTACTATTTTGCACTTTTATGCAATCTCCTCTTCATCCTAAACCACTACCTATAGAACTGTTCTATTTTTCATTCAAAGTATATATATTTGTATATTCTCCAGAATAACTAACTAGTTTGCAGATAGCAAGGATTAAGGCAATTATCAGTGGGTCGGATGATCAGTGGCAGATTATTAGTGGGGAATGAGCAAGCATACAACATTCACTAAAGAAAGCAAGCAAAAGAAATAAAAGGAAAATTTGTGCTCTTTGAGTCCAACCCTCTGACATACGGAGCACCTTCAGTTACTATTGACTTTAATGTTGAGGTCACTGGGCAGCTCACAGAACGCTTTAAGCACTGTACGTTACCAGGTCTCAGATTTTATCTTTGTGAAATTTGATGCATTACATGTAAAGCAAATAAAATATGTTTGGAGGGTGGTGGTGGGGGGAAACTTTGCTGATGTACTAAAAGTGATACAGAAAATTATAATTTTGAAAAAAAAAAAAAAGGAAAGTTTTCTAGTCCTCACTCCATTAAAGGTTCATATATAATTCCATAGCACAAATATACTATACTTGACACCTACTATTTTAATAGCTGGAATTTAATAGGCTGAGAAGGAACATTTCAACTGAGCAGAATAAAAGGGTTTACTTGTCTATCAGGCTGTTTCTGAGCAGCTCAACTTGCTCCACTTAGGGTTCTGAACTGCCACCTCTAAAAGACAAAATAATTCAATACAGCTGTCTAATGGTGACATCTAGTGGCCAGTTCCTAAAATCCAATGAACAGTAATTACTTTAAACCAGTGAAACCCAACCTTTACAGCCCGAGAGCTGCACAGATTGATTCAGAGGTCAAGAGACCACAATCCACACTTTGGGGTACATCTTTGCTCCACTTTGCTTCTTCTGCAGTGAAAAAGGAGCAAATGCACCCTATCGGTCTGCTACTGGGAGTTCCTGCTGGCATAGAAGTGGCACTGCCAACTCTTTTAACTCCCTCCCCACAGCTCCTGGAACATCCTTTGCTAGACATTTCCCTAGACTCAGCCACAGCCAGTTGATCTTCTATCCAGCTCCCACTGAGCCTCCAATGGCCTGGCAGGGAAGCAGGCAATGGAGGAGCCAGAGCTACTCTCTCCTCTCTCCCCTGCAATGCAGCAGGTGGCCAGGTGGTTGGCAGTTGTGGCAGTAAAGAGATAAACGCGGCTCAGAATGCTCCTGGTTCACATCAGAGCTGCTCCTGAGGCTGCAAGGGAAGGTGGTGCCTCTGCTTCCTTCTTGAAGTGACAGGGTTAATTCACTTCTGTTCTATAATGAGAGAGTTTATAACCGCAGTGACTGGGAAATCCATTGCAAATCAATGAATTGCAATGAACTTAGCAAATGCACACAACAGAAAAGACTTGGTGAGGTTCTGCTGTATTCTTAGAAAAGTGATTCAGTTTAAATTGTTGCTTGACACTGCACGTGTCTGCTCCCTATATGTTGTCAAAGTCACGGGTACGGAGTTTATTGGCAAACCCATCGTTTTCCCTGCAGCCAGCAATGCAGAGTCAATGTTTCTATGGAAGCTGCATTCTGTTCCACCTCTTGCAGCAGCAGCATAATCAGAGCCAATGAGAGGGGGGCAGGACCGGCTTCAGGGTTTTTGCTGCCCAAGCGGCGGAAAAAAAAAAAAAGACCGCGATCACAATTGCGATCGGCAGCACTCCGGCAGCAGCTTCACCGCGCCGCTTTCTTCACTGGCAGGAATTCGGGGCAGGTGCTTCCCTCCGAGAGGGACCCGCCGCCGAATTTCCGCCGAACAGCCCGACGTGCCGCCCCTTCCCCTTGGCCGCCCCAAGCACCTGTTTGTTGGGCTGGTGCCTGGAGCCGGCCCTGGAGCGGGGGAAAGCCGGTACAAATTACCGGGACCCAGCAGTCCGGAAGGGGGCCCAGGGCCCGGCTTTCCCAGCTTCCCCCCCACCCTCGTCGGCCCTGTTTAGCCAGTCCGCCCTTGCTGGGGGGCCCAAAAAAAAATTTTCACCGGGGCCCGAACCCACTCTCGGCAGCCCTGAGCATAATTACCAGCTCATTTGTACTAACAGAATCTTTCCTTCTGCTGATGGTGGTTGCTGATATTAAGAGTACTAATTGATTTTCAGAAACTATGTTTTATTTACAGTGCTGGCAGTTAGAAGAGTCTTGTTCTGACTTGTAAACAGTGGTGCCGGAACTATGTGTGCTGGGGGTACTGCCGCACCCCTGGGCTTGAAGTAGTAATAACAAACACCACATACATGGTTTCTGTAGTTTCCATGATCACCATCAAAATTGTTCCAACATCCCCACTTGTAAACTAAGCCATTTTATATGGAACTCCCAGGTATAATAAATATGGAACCTCGGGATGCTATTGCCTATAGAACCCACTGAGACAATAAATATGGAACAGCAAGATGCTATTTTTTAAATCACTTTTCTTAGGCGTGAGGCAATTCTCCAAAAAGGGCCATATTTTTGGAGTTTAATGTACCCTCATTTGAAGGCTTATTTTATGTATGTTTAGATGAAGCATGAGGTTGAGCTGTCAAGTGGTGTCATAAGCCTGAAACTATAGTACCCAAAATGAGGAAGTATCATTTTTTGCACAGTTCTAGAAATACTACAACAGGACTGTTACTACAGTTATTACTGTTTAAATTAATTTCAACACCTTAATGTGGTGTTTATCAGTTACAGCTGTTTAGCATTTGGCAAAGACAGGGAAGATCAACATTTTGCAATATACTAACGTGAAATGTTTTCACATTGCATATTCTTAATTGTCAAAGTGTCACAAGTGATTATAACAGCTTTCTATTTTTTCAGTTGAAATTGGCTGACCAGATCCGTCTAACACTGAAGGTTGTTCACCAGTAACAGTAGATTGCGTGCCCATAATTTGTACTGCATAGTGGGTAGATATAAATATGTGAGAATTCCTAAAGGAATGCGTCTTAATCTGTAAGCTTTTGTACATATAATGTAGCATCTAGTCTGCCTCATAGAAGGTTTTAATTTATAATTGCCTATACATGCAGTACTAGCCTTTGAAATATTCTAGAAACTAGCTTTTGAATTCAGTGACACTTATACACAGGTTAGTATTAGTGTTAAACAGGGATGAAAGTAAAATGGAGCTCTTACCGGTACGGGGCTGCTCTGGCCCCCCCGGAAGGGGCAGGACCTCGGGCGGAAGGGGCGGGGCTGGGGAGGGTCAGCGTCACCCAGCCAGTCCATCTGCACTCCCTGGCCCGCGCTGCCCGGGAGCTCCAGCGGCTATTTAAGGGGCCTGGGGCGGTAGCAGCAGCCGGAGCCCCATGCCCTTTTAAATTGCGGACCAAGGACAGCTATTTCTTTTGCCATACCCCCCCTCCTGCCGCAATCGGCGACCATTTTAATGTCGCTGCCCCTTTTCCGCCCCCCATCAGCAGCCCTGCTGGGTCATCACTGCCCCTTTTGCGCCATCAGGGCCACCGATGGGCAGGGGGGCACAAAAGGGGCAGCGACGGCAGCACTTTAAAGTCAGCAGTATGGACCGGTACTGGCGGCTACCTTTTACTGGTACCACCTTACTTTCACCCCTGGTGTTAGAGATGACAATACACAACTTCTTATTATGAATATGCAAAAGCTCAGAGAGAAAGAAGTCACCTAACAAGAAGTAGTGAAGACAAAGTCCACAAACAAGTCCTTGCTTCTGTACTGTAGAGTGACGAGGAACATGTGAGAGATCTCACCAACCATGTCATCAACAATACGACAAAAACTCATTTGACCCTGAATCACATTCAGAGATGCTTATCAATATATCTACTAGATTGCATGTAACAGATGTACAAGATTCTCTACTGAAAATAGCAGATGTTGGTGAAGAACAAATTGAGAGATTTGTGAGAGGTGTACTTGATTCTGATGAGACACATAGCCTCTTCAGCCTAGTCAAGAAACCTGGCGTCAAAACATTAGCTGAAATACATAGGTGCCGACTCCGTAGGTGCTCTGGGGCTGGAGCACCCATGGGGAAAAATTAGTGGGTTTTCTGCACCCACTGGCAGCCAAGGTTCCCCCCCCCCGGGC